AGTCGCGTAGGCTTGAGCCGGTCGACGACAACGTTTTTTGAATTGACTGTAATTGTAAGAAAGGGCTATGCAAATATAATTCTTACTCTTTAAGGTTATAGCAGTTCCCGTTTCCAAGTGCTCTTAAACTCATATCTGTGATCAATCTTGCATCTTTAACATCTAAGATTTCCTGAAAATATAAATATGCTGGTAACTAAAAATTAAAGCTCTAACTTATAAAGCCTTTAATTTCATTAAAAATTTTATTCTTTATGTGACTCCAAATTTCACCTATTCTCCCTCCTCCTCTCAACATGGTGACTGAGAAAGATATGCATATGAAGAGAACATTTCTACAAGATGCAGGGCAAAATAACGGCTTGTCAGTCACCGGTCATGATCATAGTAATATTATTTTTGCCTCAGTCATACCCTTGTTTATAGTTCAAGGTTCCACAACAAGGCAATTTAATATTTGACTGGATAAGTTGTAATTCTGGCTGGACAATGTCCAATGACTGGCTGTTATTAAGTACTGATATGATTTCAAAAATTATAGAAATAATCATTACTAACCAAGTTTTCTGCCAGTCCAAAAGTAATGATTTCAATTGCTCCGTCTGACAATTTGCTGCACCTTTGAAGTCGTAGCTCATGAATTTGTGGGCAGTTTTTTACAAGCATTTGGATACCATTATTAGTTGTTATATCCAAGCCCTTGATTATCAAAGTTGATAGACAAGGTGATTGCAGATAAGAAAACCATTTGTCTGTCAGTTGATTTAGGGAGTTTCCTTTGATGTTTAAGTATTCCAGCTGTTTCTGAGTCTTGCAGAAATTACTCATACCTTTATCTGTTTGTAGATCAAATAAGCATAAGCAAACATACAATGTTAAAAAGTGTGAGGAAACAAAAAAACACTTTCAGGGTGCTGCAATAAATGTATCCAATAAAATGGGTCCCTAGAGCATTCTGGTCTAGCTTGGGTACAACGCATCTAACCTTTCCCTAAAGACAGGTCATCGTATGAAAAAAAGCACGTTAACCTCTATGCATGAGAGTATAGTATCACGGTATGCACATTGAAAACTCAAATCTACACGTTTATTATGGATTTATGAACAATTTTAGACTACAATCTTTACCTGTAATTTTGTGACAAGACTTAATCGTCAAACTTCTTAACTGACATTTGCACGAAGCAAGGTTCGCCAGCACTGCGTCCGTCACCTGATCACAGTTGTACTGTAGTGAAATTGTTTGTAATTGTCGTGAGAATAAATGTTTCGTTATGATGGGCAAGCGATCGGCCGATAACATGTCATGATCGCACAGCCTTTCCACTAAAATTTCTTTATCAGCTCTTGAGAGAAAATTTCCAACATTTTTGATCTTACTGAGGTTGTTTGCCACACAGAAAAGGCATAAATCCACTAATGACTTCATGGTTCGACTGACTGATGTACTAGAGGTGTTGATTCAGTTCTGCTGCTGAAATGAAATGAAATGCCTTGCCAAGCTTCTTTCAAAACTTTGTTCATACTACAACATTCATGATTTTCGTAATCTCGCTGGCATTTCATAACATCTTTTTTATATGTATCCTCGGAGACTGCAGAGGAGGAGTGTTCAACGCCAAAAAAGGAAAAATCAACATGTAGATGTTGGGTCCGGTCTCTCACGCTCAATATGTAACTGTGTTCTATATTTAGGATATGAGTTCATCAAATCTGCATTGAATTCTGGGACCTATATTTTGCTATGAAAATCAATATAAACAATGCTTATACCTAAACCTATTTTTTCCTAAAATCAAGGACAGTATTACTTATTGAATAAATACTGAAAAATGGAGTAAAATAGGAAATTGAAGGTGGGAAAATTTTTATTTCACTTTGTCGCAAAGAATCTAGAAACGACTTTGAGCCTGCGGTGAACGGATACGCGGCTTCACTAGTTTAGAAAAACAAAAATGGCGGAAGGATTGGAACAAGAAGAAGACGTTGAAGAAACGAAACAAGAACAAGTATACTACGACCATCCTGTCTATAAAGAAATATCACTGACTAATGGCAAGATCAATAAGATGAAGAAAAATGAAGTGAGAAGCATTTTAATTGAAATGGGTCTTGATGCAAGGTACCTGTCAAAAAAATGTACAAGTTTGAGAAGTTTTTACAAAATTTTCTTCAAGGAATTTGTTCGTTTTTGCTCATTACATTTTCTATTTATATTAGAGGAGTTAAAGAGGTAGTACAGAAGCGACTTAAAAGTCATATCAAAAAAGAGAAGCTTTTACAAGCTAAATTAGAACAAGAGAAAAAGAAAGTTTTACATTACTACTGCGTGATTGATTTTGAAGCAACTTGTGAAAAGGATAACCCAGAGGGCTATAAACACGAGATCATTGAATTTCCTGCTGTGCTTGTCGATGCTAAGACCTTGGAAGTGGTAGGTTTTATCAATAAATCATTATCATTATCATCATTTCTAATAAAATATGAAAGTCCACTTGGATAAAGAGCTACATGGTGGAGTAGATCATTAATAATTAATTTAATTAAGAATTAGGAAAACTTATTACTAATTATTCCTTTTTTGTGTGTATAAGGTGGATGTTTTTCATCAATACTGTAAACCTTTACTAAAACCAATTCTATCAGAATTCTGCACTGAATTGACTGGAATAACTCAGGTATGAACTAAAGCTCAAGGCAATGGATAAAGTTGCAAAATTTGCAAAAATTTTAATGGGAAATGAAAAGGGGGTACCTGAGGAGTGGGGGTGGGTGGCAGAAATCTAACCTAGTCCTTGATCCTTTGTATATCTATGCAAGCTAGCCAACCAGGCACAGCTTAAAATTATGGCCAGTCAATCAAAACTGTCTACCTAAACTTGGAATTTGTCTGGCAAAATGTGGCTTTGGCTGTTCTTCTTGAGTGGACACATTGACTGATCACATTGATGAGTCCATTCTGGCCAGTCATCCTGTTTAGTCATTGAGCAGCTGATATTTTTAGCTCTGTAAAGATAGCTAATTTGATATATTTGTAAATGTCTAGTATTAATAAACATCATTTTCTTGATACTTTTGACATACTGCAATATTTTTTTTAAAGGAAATGGTAGACAAATCCCCATCGTTTCCTCAAGTTTTTGATGATTTCAACATATGGCTCAGAGAACATGAACTTGGTACACAATATAAATTTGCTGTTGTTACTGATGGGTAGGTTTAATTTCCATGTTTTAATTATGTTTAATCTTAATTATTTAATTATTGTATTCATTCATGTGTCTAGCTCTAATCAATGTACTAATACCATTTGTTTTCCTAGGCCTTGGGATATATCAAGATTTCTAAAACTACAATGTGATATTTGTAGAATAACTCTACCAAAATGGTCCTCAAGATGGATCAACATTAGAAAGCATTATCGTAATTACTACAAAACTGGATGCAAGCTGAATGAAATGCTGGAGAATTTAGGTTTAATCTTTGAAGGCAGGCCACATTCTGGCATAGATGACTCAAAGAATATTGCTAGAGTATTGATAAAATTGATTGAGGATGGCTGTGAGCCATATTTTAATGAAAAGCTGAAATGAATTAGTATATTTAAATTCTAGCACACATTTTATTTGAGGTAGGGTTAGTGGATAAATTAATATTTATTACAAAACTATAGCAGTTATTGATCAAGCATCAGTTAGATGGAATTATGGCGGACTGTATTATAAAAATAGTTCACTTGACTGGCAGTTCCCTACACCATCTCAAAAAGGTATCTTGTCCTGTGCATGAACATGTGAATAATTGTCCAAGGTGTTGAAAAAGGTCTCTATCATCATAAGATCACCACCATTCTTGCCTTGCTTTCACAGGAATGGTTATCTTTCAAGATGATGCACAGAACTGTGAAGAATATGTGAAAAAATGGATGTATAGGTACTGAGCCCTCATGATAGAAATTCATCAAAACTCCATTTTCTCTTTTTCATTTCAATGTGATCACTTTTGGGTCACACCATTCTAAAAAATCTGAAAAGCTATCGGATAGTTGTAGAAAATATCCTTACTTTTTTACAAAACAAAGGAATATGTTTGTGAAGATATCATTTTCACATTAGAAATAATACACGTATGATATACAATTGTAATTGAGACTTTTAGCTCCAAAAAATATCCATATACTTCCCAAATAAAATAATTTCAGAAGGGGGTCTAAATCGGAGTAGATCAAAAAAAAAAATTTTATGTAAGGATGTTTGGGATATTTTTTTTACATTTAATTTAAAAATCTAATCATTATAGTTAGAACTTCATCAAACTTTTAAAAAGGTACTTAAGAACTTATGCAATAAAATGGTTTTTCCTTTATTCATTTTCGGTAAGAAATCAAGCAATTATGATTATGTTGAGTGGGTTTCCTGTGGCGAAATTTAACTTTCGCATGAAAAGGCATTGCAATCAGTTAGAGCTTAGATCTTTAATCACATTTCGGGTAAATATTGTTAACCATTGACAATTATACGAAATCAGATTGCTGTTATTATATTATTATTTTTTAAATTCTATCTGGAAATTAGAATTTTGTCTTGACCCTCACCCCCTGAGGTTATGATTTGTCAAAGCGAAATTAGCGGGATTTTTCATTGCATAACGAGAAAGTGAGCACGCTTCAAGTTGTATATTTTACAAAGATGCCAAAAAGGAACAACAAGAGAAAAGCTTCAGATTCAAAGTTGCAATCAACTGAAAAACAAAATCATTCTCATGATTTTTTAGCTGAAGAAGAGTCGTCTATTCGAGCGAATCTTCTTTCTTGGTACGATCAAAACAAACGCGATCTACCATGGCGGCGTTACGCCAGCGAAGAAGACCCCAACAAGAGAGGCTATGCTGTCTGGGTATCAGAAGTAATGCTGCAACAGACTCAGGTAGCTACTGTGATAGATTATTACAACCGATGGATGGAAAAGTGGCCAACTTTGAAAGATCTTGCCGCAGCAACGTTGGAAGAAGTGAACGAGTGCTGGTCAGGTCTTGGGTACTATTCGAGAGGACGTCGTTTGCATGAGGGATGCAAGAAGGTAAAGCTTTTTTTTGCGCCTTGCTTTAGATTTACAGCTACCCTAGGCAATTAGTGGCAGAGTATTTCAGGGTTTTATCTCATAGCTTGTTGCTGTAAAAATAGGATTTGCTTAAAAGAACATTAATTAATGGGGAAAATTCGTTAGAGCTGCCCAAAAAGTGTACCCCCTCTCATTCAGGGAGTGGGGAGGGGCTTGAGAGAGAGGAGGAGGGGTTGGCTATAGTCCTCCGTGCACTTCTTACAAATATATAAATTTTGCTATCTAAGTCCCACTCCTTCTGTCTTTCAGCTTTTTGCATAATAGTCTCATATTTTCCAATTAAGTCCGCTCCCACTTTTTCAGGGTGCTTGGTAGTCCTTGCATCCCCTTTGGTTCTGGGTATAATTAATATCAGAATCTTTTAAAATGCTCACTTTGTTTTGCATGATTAGATTTTAGAAGAATTGGATGGCAACATGCCAACATCTGCTTCAAAGTTACAAAAGGAGCTTCCAGGTGTGGGACGCTATACTGCAGGGGCTATTGCATCAATTGCATTTAAGGAGAAGACAGGAGTGGTAGATGGAAATGTAATAAGAGTGTTCTCCCGATTGCGAGCCATTGGTGCAGACACAACCACAAATGTTGTAATTGATAAGTTCTGGCAACTAGCAAATTCCCTCGTTGATGGCGAAAGACCCGGTGATTTAAACCAGGCTTTAATGGAGTTTGGAGCAACTGTGTGTACCCCAAAATCACCCAGCTGTAGTAACTGTACCCTCAATGAATACTGCAGGGCTTATAAACAAGTTGAAGAATACAACAAGAAATCAACTGAGCTCTTGAATGCCAAGCTGAACAATAACAAACTCTCCAAGACATTTGAAATATTGGATATTGAGAACTGTGAGCTGTGTCTGTCATCAGAAGTACCTTGGGATCCAGCTTTAGGTGTTTTTAACTACCCAATGAAACCAAAGAAGAAGGAAACAAAGGAAGAAAAGTTTGCCACATTCATAGTGCAGAGAAACAACCCTGATGATGAACAACAATTTTTGATTGTCCAGAGACCAAAGACTGGATTACTAGCAGGGATGTGGGAATTTCCGAACATAGAACTGACTTTAGAAGCAAAATCTAATACAGTCACCAATGACTTCTTGTCAGAAAAAATTGGTCTTTCAAAGTTGGATAACAGAAAGGAAATAGGTGAAGTGAATCACAAGTTTTCACATCGCTATCACACATACATTGTAGAGAGTTATGTGTGTGAAGACACTGAGAATGATTTGGTAGAAAGTACTAAACTAAATGGACAAGCATCTAGATGGGTGACAAAGGATGAGTTTGAAGAAGCAGCTATGCCAACGGCAATGAGAAAGATTTTGAAGTTATATGAAGACAGTTTGAAGACTATCAGTCAGGCTGCTAAAAAGAGAAAGTTGGGTAATGCATCATCTCAAGTGAAAAATCAAAGAACCATGGATTCATTTTTCAAACCAAAGAATTAAAAAGAAACTCAAGTTTATACAGTAAAACTAAGAGAAGCCATTCACGTCAGAATAGAAACACATTTTTTGAATCAGGAAGGGGGTAGAATCAACATACCTTATGTCTGGAACTATTTACTGCATTCAAATGCGTCAAGGTTTATGAAAGCTCATGTAATGTGACTTGCAATCATTGTGATCAAGATTCTAGTTGAGTCAAAAGCTCAATGACCTGCTTTAAAATCTATTCTACTTTTTCTTAAAAGTTCATCATTGTTTCTTTAATATTTTATACCAGTACAAATGAATTTACTTATTTGTACTAATTAAATTGTAAACTGTTTTAATTTTAGGCTTACAGATGATTAGATACATCTAATAGGCCCATTGCTGAATTCAAACTATATGCAATAAGGAATCATATGGATACAGAAATCATCCACTTTTACATATTATAGTACACTTGGCAATTCCCTGCTAGCAGAGTCTCTCCTCTTTCTCTCCCTTCTTTTAGGCAGGGAGGAGGGAGACTGCCAAATGTAGAGTGGTTCCTTCGATATACTGCGGACAAACAAATCCAGTCTCACAACCGTTTTTTAACCGGGTACATGTAGTGCACATGAGCAATTAATGTAACACACCGTGGCGCCAAACGTTGTCTGACAAGAGTGTTGTCAAAACCATGACAGCATTGCTAACAGTTATGCCACGCAGGACCTCATACAATTCATAATTAATAAGTACTCGTAATGTTTTGAAAGTTCTTAAATTGCACTCTTTTACAAATACCAAAGGTATTTTAAATGCTGACAAGAGTTGTCAATATTTGGACCCACCTAATGTGCTTCATCTCTCCCGATGGATCTATTCCTGTGATTCATCAACATATATAAACCATATGGATTATATGACTAACTTAATCAGACCTAATCAGGAATGCAGGCCCAAGGACCAAGGCTGAAAATTTTTAGCACAATCCCTGCAAAATACTGTCAGCTACGTACTGAGGATCATAGACAAAAAATATGAGTATTGCATAATGTAATGTCTTTATTCCAAGTAAATTACAAAGTAGTTATTCAAATTACTTCTAAAAAATCTGCATTGTCATTGTTACATCTACGACATAAATCCAAAAACACATGCAGTACAGAAACTATAAAGATAGTTAAGGTATACAATTAATTCAAGAATTTCATACTTTTTTCTCAATACTGCAAATGGATTATATTAAGGGCCCTTTCAAACATTCCCAACAATTGCTGGTATCAATGTTGGAACTGTTCATCAGGGCCTTTAGTCACTAACACTTTTTTAAAGTGGCACTTGGATGAAAATGGCCCAATTTTTCAAAGTCCAAACAATTGAAGTATTTGTGGATAATTTGACTCAATTATGATCATGTAAACCAGATTAGTGAAAATTTTTCCCTGGCCACTCACAGTTGAGAAACTTTGGGTTAAAAGTGGAAAGAACAATAGGGTTAAATGACGTCATTTACTCACAATTTATATGCTAAATAAAATTGATAATTTTTATCTGAGACATTTTACTGTGAAGAAAATATGTTGCTTGGCTACGATTGGGGCCATGTAGATACGTTTAATTAAGTTTAAAGTCATTTCCAATTTTTATCCATTTTCATCCAAGTGCTCCTTTAAGAAACCCAGCATTAATAAGCCTTTTCATAGTTTAAGAATCAATTCCACTGCGCATGCAATTTTATCCCGAATTTCTCACCTTCTTTTGTCTAAATCTTCTTTTGTTCTTAATTAAACAAAAGAAGGTGAGAAATTCGGGATAAAATTGCATGCGCAGTGGAATCGATTCTTAAACTATGAAAAGGCTTATTAGTAATCCATAATCATATACAAATTGCAGCAATACGATAGTAAAATTACTGCAGTGCTTTTCAATATTCTGCAAATTCAGACAGTTTGAAGGGCTTGTTTTTGTGCTACGGCCAATCAAAACAAAAAAAGGTACAGACTGGTTATTGATTGAGAGTTTGCAAAATATCGAAAACCACTAAAAAAATTATACATTTTCAATGAATAATCCCAGATTTTATTTTACTGGTTATAGCAGGAAAGACACCACTCTAAAATATTGTTAGGGAAAGAAATTTAAAAAAAAATTAAAAGTCAATTTTTGAGTTCCTTCTTGAGTAATTTATTATGCTTTACTTGCATTACTATCATAATAATATTTGATATTTCTTTTCTCAAAGAATCCAGTGATTTTGAAATGTGATTTTAAAACAAAACTGTGTGATAAAGAAATCAAAAACATAATATAAAGCTTATAATTAGGGAAAGACAATAGGGATAGCTTGGTTGGAGTTAAGTAAAATATTTCCACTTGAAGTGTTCCAAGATCCTCTAAAAGGAGAGATCTAATGTCTGCCAAACTTCATTGTTAATGAAAATCTAAATGTTTTCCTGATGGAGAGGGGTAAGGAAACCTCTGCACCAAGGCTATCCAGCTATTGAACTAAATCTCGTTTTTATTTTATTTTTGGAATCTGGTATGACCTGTTCATTTTGTCACCTTTACTGAAAGTTCAAGATTCTAAACTGTGACTAATTCATCCAAACTTTCCCTGCCTTAGTCTCAAATTTGACCAGAGCTATACAAAGCCTTTAACACTAGAATAACATAATTGATGAATAATGAACTTAACTAAATAAGATCAAACACTTTAAACAATCTTGGGAATAAGGTTTGCATTAGCAGAATGCCTTTAAATTTGGTCATTGCTTTATTTTATTTTATTTATGTAGCCCTCTTCAGCAGAGGATCTCATTAAATCCTGGAGGTTACGAAGGATAAAGGTGTTCTTAAATGTTCAACAACCCTGGGGGTGTTCTAGAAAATATTGGATTGAATTCTTAAGAGTTTTTTCAAAATCTCCTCAAATTTGTAATGTACCTAATGTTTAAAGACAAATGGATATCCAGGGGGCACAGAAGGAAAAAGAAAATTCCTCAGCCAAGAGGGTGGAGGGGGAGTTAATTATAAGTAATTAATTGCTTTTACATTTTATTCATCCTTGTAATTCTGAATAACTCGCTGAGCTTGTCTGATGTATTGTTGCTGCTTGTAGAAAATTCTGATTGCTCCTTTAATCCCAATAAATGTAATTCCACCCTGCAAAAAAGAATTAGAGAATTTTTAGAAATCTTTGTACCAAATACATTAAATAATAACAATACAAACAACATTTAATTTTAGTATGTATAACAGGAGAACCCTCAAGATTCATAAAATATGATAGACCAATACTGGGGATCTATGACAAGGATTGACAAACAAGCAAACCACAAATATTATCATTATCATTAATTCACCAGGTGGGAAACGTTTAGTAAGGAAACGCTCCCCAAGGCACAGATCAAGGCTAGAAGCAAAAAGCTATTATCAAGAAAGTGGGCACATTTTTCTGAAATGGACTCAGTAATACTGGTAAATACACCAATTTTTTAGCTTTATTTATATTGGAATACAATTTGTTATATGACTGTGGAAAAAATAAATTGGCATATTAGTCTAGAATGTGCCAATCATAGCAAGCAAACCAATGCTTGGAAAACGCTTGGAAAATGGAAAATAATGATGGTACTGGAAACTCATGCCATAGGCTTTATAATTAATACAAACTGCCATACTACGGATGTCACTAATCTGGGTATTTATGCCAGAAAAACATGCCACTGTCATGCCTCCAAACCTCTACGACTCTGCAGACAAATTTCAACCTTTTCGTCTGCATTCCTTGGTTGAGGTTGACATTTGGAAGCATGACCAAGACATTTTTTCTGGCATGAAAACCCAGATCGATAGTACAAAGATGATCATTATGAGGAGGGCTGGTCCAATAAGTGGGTGGTAAGGATTTATGCATGCATTCTTGGGGTTAATTTAGAGAAGAGGTGCAGGTTAGCAAAATATATAAATAAGAATATTGATCTGCACCATTAAATTTAGATCTGCATAAAGCTCCAAAAAATGAAACCTTTATAGACAAACTAAATTGCAATGCTTACCAATAAAGCCCTGTGTAGTCCAGATTCCACAAAACCATAACAAAGTTTACCGATAAGAGTTGCAACAGTTGGCATAATAAGACCTCCACATAGTATTCTAGTAGCTGACACAGGGTCTGATAGTGGGGTGGGTTCCGCAGGCTCCCGGTAATGAACACCCATGCCTTGGATTGCATTTCCTATTTTGGGGGAGAAGATACTTAACAAGGCTATCTTGCTAATGTAGCGCCTCCAAAACCTCAGGACATGATCCTCCCATCGAATCATTTTGCCAAGGATAAGGGCCAAGGGGATGGTTGGTAGTCCAACTAGTAAAAATAAAGGGTCAGCTTTTTCCATGACTTCAAGTCCATCCTTATGCCCTAACACTTGCATGACTGTAACAGCTCCATAAGTGACTGCCGACCAATATAATGAACCCACAACTATTCCAGCTGCTGCGAAGGGGCAAACTTTATTAACACAGTGATCTAGTTTTTCTATTGAACTAAGAAATGGTCCAAGAGGGGGAAATACTATTTTGTATTCTGTATTGCACTGTGGACAGTACACACTTGCTGTAGAGTTTCCTGCTTGCTTCTCATCAATCCAGCGCTGCAGGCAAGACTGATGTACCCATTTGGTAGTGCCGTGACATAAGCATGGCTCCACCCACTGAGCTGTGGGTTCATCTTCTTCAGTGGCAAAGCATACCCAACAACGTCTGGAAGAAAAACAGTATACGCGGTTAGTTAACCAGATTAATTAAAGATCCTAATCCTAATGATTTTAACTTCCCCTATGGAGGGTTGTTATTCTTTTCTTGAAGATCATAATAAAATCTCATAATATTCTTACAGCAATCTTCAGAATTGATGTAAAATCATCAAAAAAGAAAACGAAAGTACGTAATATGAATTGATTTATGCTTTGCGTGCAAACAGCTTAATAGCTTGTAGATTTTGTCCCATCTTGATCTAAATCACCACAAAAATTTGTTCACGTATCAAGAAACATTGCTAAAAAATTTTCACACTATCTATGAGAAATGTTCAAAAAGCAACGAAGGATGTATTTGCGTGATAGAAGGGTCATAAACGTCTTCACAAACTTTCCAAAACAACACGACCAATAAATCCAGTCACGAGTGAGTTGTATTCCGAGTATACTTACTTTATGTCGGTTCGATCTCCGTCCTCCATTGATAAAACAAAACAGTAGAAAGCAAACTAGCTTGTGCTTAAACCATAGCTCGTGCCTAGCAGTGTCTTAAAGAGGCAAAGCTGCAAACATAAACTCCATGCAACTTAAAAGTTGGCAAAGTCTTGAAGCTCGACTCGTTGAAGTGACTAAAGATGGCGGATGAAATTTCACTGAATCATGCTACTATACGACCAATCACATTCAAGAATAAAACTGGAAGTTTGTTTTCACTTCCGCTTCCGGTTTTTGAAACTTCGCAAATAATCTTCAACCTTTTTCTGTGTGTAAACTTATTATTTTTGAATAGATTATTAAAATTCTTATCTTGTTTGTCATTAGATAAAATAAATAAAATCTAAGTACATTGTACGTTGTATGTTTGTCAAAACTGTAAAAAAAATAGGCAGGTGACCAAAATTTAAGACAAATAAAAAATCGCTTTCTTCATGATTTCAAAATTCTTAGGTCAATATGGCGTTCAAAGATTCATAGTATTCACCGTATCGTTTATTCTGCTATCTGCAGTTTTTACGAGGCGCACATGCTGGTGTTGAGTCTGTTGTGAACAAGAGATTCGTTACCAGCTGTCTCTACTCATTCATATTGCCACCAGCGAATCAGCCAATCAGATAGACGCTTAGACCAACAAAGAGGGTGTTGCCCAATCAGAAGGCTCGTTTAATACGCTGAATACAATGAATGCAAACTTGTCGAAAGACAGCAAACGAACTTCAACAGGAAAATTTACGACAGAAAAAGAGGCTTACGATTCTGCGAATTTGAATTAAATATTTAACACACCATAAAATTGTACCAATTCCAATATGATTTTGCTTTCATATCGTCTTAAAGGATATCTAGAGAGATATCTATTTAGAGTCGTTACTGGATGAAAAACAACAAAAAAAAAGTTTTAAAGGGAACAAAGGATTTTCAGTCAAGCTGCCATATGCGAGAGACAATAGACACGAGTATTATATTTTGTATTTATATTATGATTGCCTATTGACACGGACTCTTTGATTCCATTGAACTCAAATGCCAAAAAAATACACGTGCGCCTTCTCAGAGACTCGGTTCTATTTTACTAAGGAAAAATATAATCAATGACTATTGGAGAGTTCCACCAATAAAAATCCCTTCTTTAGGATTTGTCATTTATTGGTTGAGCGATATTTGTCTCTTGTTGGCTAGCAACCTTCCGGAGATGTCTTGTAGTTTGCTTGAGAAGCGAATGAAGAGAAGAACTAAGGTTGGTTGAAACTACTCTCTTATACACTTTTTGAATCATTCAAGATATTTTCAATACTGATAGCACGAAAAAAATTAAGTTTGCGAAATATACCATCTTTATTTGCTTATAAAGTAATGTTTTTGGACGAAAAATTGAGTTCAAAATAAGTAAGTCCTACGACTTTAGACCCGTAAACTCTCTGTTGATTTGATCATTGTATTTTTTCCATAGCAGGTGCACACGTGACCCCGAGAGGAGCCATTCATTGTAGCGTTTCTTTAAGACATTGACAGAAAGGCAACGACGTGGCGAACACCAAACACAATACCACCTGTACCCGCGGAATACGTAATCTCCTAACTTACTATATTCTCGCCTTTAGTGCAGCCTTTAACTGGATATGGCCGATTTTGGCCAAAATACGCGATCATTGTCACCAGTTGACTTCAAGCATAACGAGTCGTCGCGTGCTACGTCCCTGTTTTTCCCAACTTCTCTCATAGACGAACAGAACGGTAACAAAAGCGATAATAAAAACGGGGTTTGTGAAGACTGCATTGACGATTCGTCAAAATCTAAGGCAAATTCTACACAGTCACAGACAACGACGTTAGGACAAAAAAAGCTAAGCTTTGCTGGTGAAAATTCCATGTTCCACGACTTCCCAACTTCGACCACATTTTGGTCGCCAGCAAGCATCGATGAGACGTTTGTTCAGCCAGGAGGAATTCCCCCTGTAAATGGAGTTCATTTCTCTTCAAACACGCAAATGCTAGGTTCTCCTAGACGGCCTGTTGCAGCGCCTACAGTCACTACTACCATTAACCAACAACATCGAAGACCGCTACAGAATTCTTCACAATATATAGCACAACCAAAACCCATGCCAAACATCAATTCCCTGGCATCAGGATGGAATGGAAGTCAACCAAACTCCATGTCTGGATGGCCGCAACAACAGCCTTCGACAACTTGGGGAAGAAACTATTCATCGCCAAATAACGCTTTATTGAACCATGGACGGAATTCTCGGCCGTCCTCTCTTACTTTCCCACAATCGTCACGACTAAGAAGCAACGGTGGCTCGAGATCTTCGTACACAAGCAACTCGGTTTCTCGACATGGAATCTCGACGCAAACGATAACCCAGGGCTTACAGAGTCTAAACCTGAACGGACAGCATCCTATCGATGGAACTATCTTGGACAACATCACAGGACTTGGGAATTCTCACGGTTCGAATAACGAGTTATCAAATTCCTTCTATTCGTACCAGGTAAAAGTTTAGTAGATTTTTTCCCTTTTCACTTGTTCTTTTCTTAATTACTAAAAGAGATAAAATGTATGCTTTTTTCTCTGTATGGTACATTGAAATTCATTTGATATAATGGGGATTTACTGAATACACTGATAATATTCCAAACATATTCTTCGAATCAAATATTCTGCGACAGAAGCTAGTTTTTGTGTTCTAAGAAATGGCCACAGCATTGAATTGGCTTCCAAGATATTTTTATTTGGAAAAGATAAGCCGAATGTCGGCAAGGAATTCAATTCATTTTAGAAGCATCTTGTTCTTGTCTTTTCGTCGAYTCGACAATACTATACATAAATTAATGGCGGAAAGAAAGAATTTCTGTTGTACAGCTGCTTTTCAATGGAAGAAAAGACCACGAAAATTGAAAATTAACCAAGAAAAACTTCTTGGTAAATATTTCTAATTCTTTTGCTTTTACTTTGTAGGATTCTATGAAGTTTCCATCCCTTGAAACTCGATTGTTGGATATAATTCGTTCTCCATCAGATCCACCAGATAACTTAGCTGGTAGGTAAACTGTATAATTCTTATTTCTCGTACAAAGGACTCGAACATAGCTCTCACTTACAAAACTAATTCCCGCGCTTGAAAAATAACCCCTAATCGTCCAAGAACGTTCTTTTTAGCTTTCTTTTCATTTAGCATCTTGCATTCATTGTTTTCTTATTTGACATCAAAATAATGATCAAAATCTCCAAGTAACTATTGCTCGAGCMAGTTATCGATAATATAGACTGTTCCTATGGGCGATTTAGTTGCTATAGAATTATGCATTTTTTTAATTTTTTTTTCGCTCTTTACACGAAGAGTATCAAGTTTTAACTTCTTTTTTTTTTGTTGGTTTCTGTCATATCTAGAGTCGGTGGTTCCTTTCTTTCSTTGAAAAAGTGCTATACGCGCAATATCCTATAAACAGAAGATTATTAAAAGGGGTTTTAGACTCCGGCACCTGTGAACGCCGCTGTAAATAGTTCATAAGTTTTATCGATAGAATTAGAAAGACTTTTCGCTTATGASTCGCATTTCCTGTAATTTTCTAACTCGTTTATTATTTTCGGTAGTTTCTTACGACATAGAAAGCTATYTTTGATTTGTCTGACACAATTTGATTTTTCTTCGTTTAAAAATACCGTCGTTTTTTCGGCTGGATTTTACATTCAGTTTCATTCATCTTTTTCTCRTCTCAAGCTCGGAAATTTTGTTTAGACTAACGAAAAAGCTTCAATCGAACTTCATTACTATCTCGACTTAAAAATAATCAATGTCAGAGGGTGCGATAAATGTAATTACTTGGGGGGAAAAAAAGGAAAACGGAAAATAAAATATATAAAAGAGTTTTTTAAATGATTTTCTTAAAGAAGATATATTTTTAAAAGAAAAACTCAAATAAGGAAGCCATTTCGATGTCGAATGCACTCAAATGGCCTCTCTCCGACAATGTTTGCCGGGTGACACTGAAAAGGCCTCTTAATGCAGAATTAGGAATTTCTCCCTTAACGTGGTGGCAATATATATAACTTGAATTTAAATACTTCAAACAGTCAAAATTTTCACAGTTTACATTTCGTAATAATAAAAGTAAAGATTAAATGAAAAAAATGAACTTGTTTTTTCGGTTGAATAGTATACCGAATGGTGCCGATAAAGTTACAAAATAACTTTTTCACTATGTTATACGCTTCAAAGTACTTTGCGGTATATTTTGGCCTTTTCTTATCTGTGCGTTCCCATCTTACTATTCAATCAGCATTCTCTTAATATGGTATTATTTTAAAGTAATATAACCTGGTCGATTATTCCTTTGTCGAAGAAACTCTACAGTGCTCGTATAGAAATTGTTTTGAAGACATCAGTGTTCGAATCTATAAAAAAGATCTATTAAAAAAATACAACTGATATTTAGAAAAGAATAAAACCAGAAGTAAAAATTTTTTGAATAACATAATACGCAAATGGGATTACAAACAATTTGAATTTGCATAAAAAGAAGACAAATTCGGCTTTGCAATGTCTCGCGTTTTTCCTTGTCCTTCAGAACTTGTCAAATCTTTTTGATCAAAAATTTTCTAACCTTTCAAAATCCAAAACATTATTCACCGCTTGGGTGACTAATTATTCCAATAGCAAAAACTAATGCTTCATATTATTTCTTATAACTTGAAATTCTAAGAATCATTTATTTTTTCGAGTCTTACACCTGTAGTCTGTCCAAGATGCTTCAAGTCCGCATAGCTAAATTTCAAATATCTCACCATAGTTACACATTCAAAAAAAACGAGAATATAGGCAGAATTATTGAAGTTCTTGAAATACTCTTTTGACTAGTATTTTTACCATTTTTTWAAATATCATAGAAATACTGGCAAAGAAATTATGTCTATAAAATATCACCAAATTGCAACTCCTGAGTTAAGTTTCCTTAGCACCGATATCAATGTGGCTTTTTGTG